AGACAGACGCTTAACCAACAGAGCCACCCAAGTGCCCCAAGGCTGTGTAACTGGTGGGTCACCCCCAGTTCATAAAATGAGAAACTCAAGTAAACATTAAATAAGTGCTTTGGCCAAGCTTCTGGGCATAGCGTGTGCACACACGTGTGTGTGTGTGTGTGTGTGTGTGTGCGTGCATGCAGGGTCGTATGGGACTCTCGGCTTTTTCCAGTTTTAGTATATGTGCTGCCGAAGCAAGCACAGGACTGTCAATGCTTAATTATCTGTGTGTTTACTATCTCCTCTGTGAGTGACCCAGGGCAAAGGTATGACCTTCTAGTTGGATGTCCTCTTGTCCCTCTGCACTCTCCCATCCAGAACCAAAATGTCCCCTGCTGTGTTCAGTAAGATCAGTTCAAATTCTGTCCTTCGAAGGGCACCTGGGTGGCTCAGTGGGTTAAGCATCTGACTCTTGATTTTGGCTCAGGTCATGATCTCAGGGTCCTGGGATCCCCTCCCTGCATCAGGTTCCACAGTCAGCGGGGAGTCTGCCTGAGGATTCTCTCCCTCCACCCCATCCCCCTTCCCTCTCTAAAACAAAACCAAATCAAAAACAAGGACTGTCCTTTGAGGAGGAGATGAAAGACACAAGACACTAGTCTTGCCCTCGTGGAACTTCTGGTCCGTCTAGGAAGCTGGGATAAAAATGTGTGGGAAAAGTATGTGCAACCCTCTGTAAAGGGAGTACCTGGGAGCCAAGTGCTGCTTTGCTGTATCTCCACCTACAACAGTGCCTGGTATATAGAAGATGCTCCACGAATATGGGAAAATGGCCATGGTTTCCAAACTTTTTATTTTATTGATTTTTATTTAAATCCAATTAACATATAGTGTATTGTTATTTTCTGTCTAGTAGGTAGAGTTCAGTGATTCGTCAGTTGCATGTCACACCCAGTGGTCATTACATCACATCCCCTCCCTAATGCCCATCACCCCATTACCCCAGCCCCCCAGTCCCCCTCCCATCCCCTCCGGCAGCCCTCAGTTTGTTTCCTATGATTAAGAGTCTCTTATGGTTTGTCTCCCTCTCTGGTTTCGTCTTGTCAGACTACTCATTTTAAAGAAGGGAAAACCGTTCTTCGGTGAGATTTGACCTCAAGCTCACCACGAAATGGACAGACTGACAGCTGCTGTGCTCCCTGGCGAAGGGAGCTAGGGTCAAGCCCCGCCAGCTGTCTCCTCTGGACCCCAGAGAGGTTCTTCAGCACCCAGTTGGAAAACTTGCTATAGTCACTGGAAAAGGATGTGCAGATCAACCCTGCCGCATGGGGGATACTAGCATAAACAAACAGTGGTTTGAAGCACCAGGCACTCCAAAGGGAATATTTGCATCTGAAAAAGTGTTGTCCGTCTCTCCTGTCCCCTCCTTGTGGGCAGCCCCAAGTAGTGAGAGCAGAGGGAAGGAAGTTTGGAGTAGGAGGCTTTTGAGTTGGTCCACAAATGTATATTGCGGTAATGTTCGTTCACTTTAAATGAAGGAAAGAAAGCCATTGTGGTAATGTCTTCCAGAATTCCACAGAAGCCCCTTTGGTGTTATCCTACAGGCAGTCCTGATATGCAGATACAATGGAAAACTCTTACGGAGTCTGTCTGGTAATTGAGTATGTGGCGCTGCCTGGTTTTGGTCCCAGGGCACCCTGCATCACCTGGGCAGCTGCTAACGTTCCTGGTGAAATTCATGGTCAGCTTTAGGCACACACAGATGCCGAAGGGGGCTACCTGTTGAGAGCATCTCTACTCCACGCCTGCCGGACTGAAACCCGCTGCCTGCCTTGCCTTGGCCTTCTCCTTGCCACCTCCATCCCCAGTGGACAAGGGAGGAAAACCAACCCAGAGGATGCTTGCTTACTCGTCAAGGGGGTCCAGGGAACAAGGCTCATCTCAGAACTGCATCCGGAAGACAACTGGCAGTAACCAACATCTTTTTAAAAACTTGTCAAAGGGAGAAAGATCTTGAATTAAGTTTTCATCATTATCCATCTCGTGGCCCTTTCATTACGTCTCATTACCAGCCCATTACCTACAGACTGTCCCTCCTCAAAGGTGTCAAAAGGGGCAGACAGATAATGTTGGGAACCCTGCTATAGACTGAATGTTTGTGTCCCCCGCATTCATATGTTGAAACCTAATCCCCAGTGTGATGGTATTTGGAAGTGTGGCACTGGGGGGGGGTGATTAAATCAAAAGGGCTCTCGCTCTTATGAATGGAATTAGCACGCTTATGAAAGAGAGCCTGGAGAGATCCATGCTTCCACCATTTGAGCACACAGCTGGGGAAGATGGCTGTCTATGAACTGGGAAGAGGGCCCTCACCAGACACCAGATCTGCTGGAATCTTGATCTTGTTCAGCCTCCAGAAGTGTGATAAATAAATTTCTGTTTCTTTAAGCCACCCAGTATATAGTATTTTATTATGGCAGCCTGAATGGACTAAGACTGAGCCCATTCAACAGCAGGGCAATTTGAAGGGTGAAAGGAGCTTCCTTTAGTATTTTACTGGGAGCCCCAGCTTCTCCTCCACTGCCTAGCTTGGCCATCTCCTTCTCTCTTGTCCAGTCTCCCGACTTCTCTATCTTCAAAATCTAGCTCTTGGAGCGCCTGAGTGGCTCAGGTCATGACCTCAGGGTCCTGGGATCAAGCCCTGCATCAGGCTCTCTGCTCAGCGGGGAGCCTGCTCCCCCCCCCCCCTGCCTGGCTCTCTGCCTACTTGTGATCTCTGTAATAAATAAAATCTAAAAAAAAAAAAAATCTAGCTCTGGCCTGACCCTGATGAGGACAGCAGTCTAGCCGCCCCCGCCCTTCTGCTACTGCTGACTTCACCCCCTTGTCCAAGCCACCAATCAACCCCCCCCCCCGCCCCCAGCATCTGGACTAGTCTTTTACTAAAGTGGTTGAGTTGCTATCATGAAATTCAGTCTTAGGATAGAAGTCACTGAAGGCGAGGGCTGGAGAGAACCTTGATGATGAGGAGAAACTAAGGCCTGAATGGAGGACTTGCCTAAGTTCTCTTCGCAAGTCATGGCAAAGCTAGAGCTGCAAGCCAAGTTTTCCTTTGAGCGCCTTATGCCTTTATGGCTACATCCTGAGCTCCTTGGTTTCTTTTCTTGGTCTCTTTCCCCCGCTGTCCCCAGCGTTCCTCTCCCCCCTGACCCTTTCCCCAGTCCTGTCTCTCTAGAGGGAGGCTCTAGAAATCGCTGCATGACAGTGTACTTTTTTTTTTTTTAATTTTGGTGTTGTTTCGAGGGATTAACGACCTAAAGAGACACAGAGCCCTGACAGAGCCCTGTGATGCCCAGCTCTGAAACATAACTTGATCCCGACTAAGGTCATCCCTGACATGTATTCAGAACCCCAAATATCGGTTCCTAGAGTTTAGGTCATTTGCCCAAGGTCTCTCAACTAAGAGATGGCCACAGCGGGAGCCAGCTGGAGGTCTTCAGGCGCTGGGGGGGACGCCGGGCCCCTGAGCGCGGCTCCAGGCACTGCTCAGAGCCTGCAGGCTGTGGAGGCTCCGGGAGCCAGAGGCAAGCCCAGACCCCGCTCCCCTGCTCGCAGCAGCAAGGCCCCAGGGGACATGCGTTATTTCTTTAGGTCTTGAAGCCTCTTCGTTTTGTGCGTGTGGCTCCCGTCAACTTCTGGGTGGAGAGAGATGGCGTGAGCAGTTCACATGGGCCTTCTGGAAGGAAGCGGGGCATCCTCGAGGCAGCCCAGCTATTGGGAGCCCAGCACACCGGCCTGAACACAGCCCTCCCCCACTGCGCGCGGGGGCCGAGACCGCGGCGCTCCGGGGCAGCGAAGCTGGAGGCAGCTCCGCCTGCAGCTCGAGCGCGCCGGGACGCGCGGACTTTCCTCAGAGGAGCGCTCTTGGTTCCGGTCCCGCCTGCGGGTCGCCTACGCTCCCAGGGGACCCGCTGATCCCCGCGGAGTTCTTGTGGCCGCGCCCCCTCGTGGCTCCTCCCGGAGCCCCTCTCGTGCCCCCCCATCCCCCCTGCCCAGGACCACGTGCCGCAGGTTTTGGCGCTGGCGGGAGAGACGCGAGTCGCGGGGCACGCGAGGCGCCACCCCTGGGGCCGGTCCGGCAAGCGCATCTTCCTGATGGGTCCCTCGCGGTCCAAGCCAACTCTCCCTGGCCCGCCGCTTCGGTTGGCTCCCAGCACAGAAGCGCCTTCGGATGACCACCCTCACTAACTTTGGGGGGGAACTCCCCGGGGAAGGCGGCTAGGGACCCCGAATGTGAGCAGCCGGGACGCGGCTCCCAAGGCTCACGAGCCACGGCCGGAACTGGAGAGAGGGGGGCGTGTGGGCTTCCCGGGGAAGGTCCCAGCACGCTTCCCTCCGCAGACGTCAACCGTCAACCGTAGCCCCTAGGCGGGCGAGCCTTCCGCGTCTCAGATCTGGCGGGCTGCGCCGCTCGGGGTCTTCGCGTCTCGAGGGATGGGTTGGGGGCGGGGGGACCGCCGGCGAACGGCTGGCTGAGGGGACCTGTTTGCCCGCGGCTTTGAAGGTGGGATCGAGTAGGGTCCGCTGACGGAGAAACCCAAGAGAAGACTTCGGGTTTGTTAGTTTTTTCCCTTCCCTCTCCTCAGAAAAGCAACCACATCGTGGGGTGTGGGAATAAAGAGGAGAATAAACACAAACAGCCTCAAAAAGACGCCAAGAAAAGCTAAGCCAAAAGAAGCAATCCCAACACTGTTACAAAACTGTCTGGTTTTGTAACAATTTCCCTGCAGCCGGCCAATGAGCGGCGTGGCGGCGCGTCACGTGGTACTGTTTTATATAACACTTCGCTGAGACAGGACAGTTATCAGTCGGCGCGGGGCGGCCGGCGTGGTGCTCGCGGAGGCTCGGCAGCGAGCGGCGCGCGGTAGCGCGACGGTGGCTGTCCGAATTCTCTTCAGTCCCTGCTCTCTGCTCTGGGTCTCCGGCCCCTAGACGCCTCTTCCGTGCGCGCCTCTCTCTCTATGGATTCACTTCAGACCCGACAGATGCTGAGCGTGTCCGCCGAGCTCGGCGGCAACAACTTAGAACTGGCGGAGCCGGCGGCTTCCGCGGCCCGCGCCGACATGGGCCCCCAGCCGGGGGCGGCTACGGAAGGCTCCGCACCTTTGGCCGCTCGGGAGCCGGAGCCGGAGGAGCCTCCTCCGAGTCCCTCGAACCCCGAGTACAAAGTTCTGCTCGAGCAGGCTGACGCCCTGGCGTCCGGGGGCCGCCTCCGGGAAGCCTTCGAGGTGTACCGACAGCTCTCCGAGCGGCAGCAGCTGGTGGCCGAGCAGCTGGAACAACTGGTGCGCTGCCTGGCCCAGAATGTCCCGCAGGGCGAGGCGCTGCCGCCGGCGCCCCCGGACGGGAGCGGGGCGGCAAGCTGTGAGGCGGCGGCGGGAGAGGCAGGGGCGCCAGCGGCCGCCGCCGCCACCGAGGTGTGGGACGGCTTCAAGTGCAGGAAGTGCCATGGGTTTCTGTCAGACCCCGTGTCCTTG